TATATATAAACTTAAAATAATTATTTTGTTTCATGTCCTCAACATGCAAAATTTTTAAAGGCTTAACAACCTAAGTCAAACAGCAACCAAATTCAAAGATCATAACTAGAAAAGATAATTGTTTGCTTTACTTCTTTATTTACTGTTCTATGTTTTAGAAAAAATAACTTTAAAAACTTATTTCAAAATATGAACAACCTATGTACATATATAATGTATAATAATTGAAATTTGACTGTATTTTAAAAAATACTAGTCGACTAAAACAGCCAAGATAATTTACTTTGTACAGACCAAAGGTCAGTTTTACGTTATTTTATGTTATAACTTCTGTACTGTTAGCTAGGCACAGGTGGAAGGTCAATATAATAAATATATATAAATGTATAATGTTATGAGATATAAGCTATTTAGTCTACACATTTATGTTTTCGTGTTATAAGTTGTGTTCATTCTAGAATGAAAGAGGCATAATTTACATTTATTTCCTAATTTTTATGGTGGTTGTAAGATTGGTCAAATTTACTGAACTCACACAGAGATTAATTACTGAAAATAACAGATAAAATATAAAGTTTTTTCTTAAGAAATGTTTGATAACTATCCAGGCATTATAAAGATTTTGCAGGTGAAATTTTAAAAATTTTCTGATGCATAAAAGTATTTTTAATCTTAAAATGAAAATTACTTTGCATGATAGATAGGCAAGATGTGAAAAGAAAAAAAAGGGATGAGAGAAACATTACTTTACAAACCTTAAAACTTAATAATAAAATTAGATATTTTGCATATAAAAGCATTGTAATGTTTACTGATAAACTACTAAATTTTGTTAACATTTGCTTACTAATTTAAAAGTTATAGCATGAAAACTATAAAAAGCACAAAATGATGATTATGATGTTGGTCCTAGGGACCGAGCCTGGGTTTAAAGATTACACTTTTTCTATATAGGCTGAAGAGTTTCGTATCACCTTGACTGGGGAAGGACATTTATGTAAAAAACATACGGTAACTCTGAGCATTCCTCACAAAACCTTGTAAAATTTTGTTAAAGTTTATAAGTATTTTGTACACAAGGAATGACAATATTTTAATAACATCTTTCTAATAAAAATATCATTTATCTATAGTAGCTACTTGCATTCAAACTGTTAACAGTTCAAGTGCAAGGTGATTTTCATTTTAAGTATAAAAATACTTTTCTTCATCTTATAGTTTTCATATTTCATTTGCATAACCTCTAGAA